TGATCCTTGTTGGTTTAAAGCCATTTTATCAGAGCCTAGGATTGCAACTCCTGCTTTTTTTTTTTGCTCTCCATTTGCTTGATGAATCTTCCTCCATCCCTTTATTTTGAGCCTATGTGTGTCCTTGCATGTGAGGTGGGTTTCCAGAGCATAGCACACTGATGGGTTTTGACTTCTTATCCAATTTGCCAGTGTGTGTCTTTTGATTTGGGCATTTAGTCCATTTCCATTTAAGGTTAATATTGTTATGTGTGATTTGATCCTCCCATTTTGATGCTAGCTGGATGTTTTACCCATTAGTTGACACATTTTCTTCATTGTGTTGATAGTCTTTACCATTTGGTACATTTTTGGAGTGGCTGGTACTGGTTGTTCCTTTCCTTGTTTATTGCTTCTTTCATGGGCTCTTGTACCAAAACTAGGAAAGGACTAATAACAACAACATACTAGAAATACTTTTTAGAGTATTTTAAAATGAATCATTATAATTAATAAGACAAAATCTTGTTAAATTTATATAGTTTATATTCAAAACACAAATTCTAATGAATATAGGGGTATCAGAAAAAGACCCCATAAGTCTACTTACAAAAGTTTTTAAAGCAATGATGCATTAAACAAAAGCAAAAGCACTGTTTTCCCAGAGTTAAAAATTTGAGGAATAAAAATAAAAAGAATTAGGGTATTAAGACCCTCAAGGTATTCTCAAAAGTATATTGAATTTATTTTATTTTACCACAAAGTTCCATTATGTTTTATTATGCCAATCATAGTATTACAGGGCAATAATCTGTTTCCATTATCTCATTTAATTATTTAACTATAAACTCTCTAGTCATAATTACACACAGTACCTGACACATGGTAGAAATTAAAAATTTTTGGATTAGATTGGAGGATAAATATTTCATTTTTAGTTATAAATCTCTATTACAAAAGCAAATTTATTAAACTATTTTGAGACCCTCTTGAAGAAAATACAGAAGTGCCAAATATTTAAATTTTAAAAGCTAACAGAAGTTCGAAATCATCTAGTCTCACCATCTCATTATACAAAAGAAGTACTGTGTCTGGAGCCAGGGATGTTATCAAGCTACTTCACGATCATGTAAATGAAATGAGAGCTAGAACTGGGACTTCGACCTCCTGATTCATAAATCAAATTCTTATTCTAAACATCACACTGGCTTTCCAAGCTTTATAGTTAACAAGTTTTTGGAAACTTTGCTTGGCTTAATCAGTGTAATCCATTCACTCTTTCTCTCTCTCTCTCTGGCAATAAAGTTACAGTAAAACACAATTTAATTGGTCTAAATTGATGTAGAAGTCAATTACAATGGTGTAGTATACTGGGCAACTCATGAACAATAAACATTGCTATGAATATACTGGTTACTGTAACTTTGATTGAAAGCCAAACAAATTAACTTTTATTCTAAGTATTAATTTATTCATGCTTTGAAATAGAACATCCTTCACATTCTTATATTACTTCACACTAGGGTTTTGAAGAGTAAAATCCAAGTGTTGATTAGTTTGTATTATTTCCTAAAACAATCTTTTCTGTCACCATACATATAAGATCTTTTACGATAATATATTGCTAAAGCTATTAATATAATAAAATCCTTTATAAAATGTTGGTAAAACTTAAAATATATATAACTTCATTTCTCAACTGAAAATAATGCCTTATAATATTTTTTCGAACATGAATATTGAGCTTAAAGGTAATTTTACCATTTAATATTTTTCCTCTGATAGTCATTAAGTCTTATTTCAATATTCTATTAAGCTTTTAATGTCAAACTGTAATTCAATGCAGTCCCAATCCTTTATCCTGTTGAAATATTTCTGGAGCTTGTTTTCTAATTAAAAAATGAATTTTCAAACATATCATTAATTATATGATGCATGTAAAAACAAAATGTTCATCTCAGAATAAACATTTCAGTAGCCAAGTATTTCTTAATTTTCTGTTTTAGCATTTACAATACAGTTTGTGGGAAAAGTGAAAATTCACATATAAAATGCTACATGTCCTCAAATAAAAGATTATATCAATGCAAAATTTTCTTGCATCTTGACACAATAATAAGCATTACACTTAGTGTGTTATACATCATTAATATAGTGACTTGAAGCATATTTAACATTGTCAACATTTTCTTGGGCCTTCTCCAAACACAGAGATACAGTTTAAAATAGTCTATGATACATTATCCACCCAGGATGATTCATAAGTTCACATAAAAAGCACAAACATGGATAAACACATTCAATGCAAGGGAGCTCATACAATTGTTGAATTAAGCCTGTATGCAAATTACTTGAAGCTGATAACTATATCCTCTAGTTCTATTTCTTATAATTTCAATAAACCAAAATTTTTTTAAATATTAGAATTATTCATTTATAGAACTGCATTTTTAAAACATGGTGTTTGGGTTTTGTTGTTTTTTTGCCTTTCACAGGAGAAATACTGATACCTGAAACATGAGGATCAAAAGTATGAATATAAACAATAACATGTATACCAATAAAATATATGCAAAATAACTGTGAATTATAAAATTCAAACATAGGAAAAAAATGTAGAGCAAAATATATGTATTTGAGGAAGGTTACATGAGAGTAATACAAAAAACAAGGAACTTGATTTAGGAACGAAATTGAATATGTCTTTTCTAAGAGCAATTGCTTTCATGCAGTTTTCACTTGTGCTTGTCACCATGAGTCCAGGCATGACTACAATGACTGGCCTACTTCTTCCTACCCTGTAATTCATCCTCCATCAAAATAATACACAAGCATACCACGCACAAATATCCACAAGCAAACCTATCGAGAGAGACTATGCTAATCCTTTGAGTATACATTTATGTTTTAATAAAATTATACAATGGCGAGACAACAGTTTTCTCAGGTTCTTAAAGTGTTGATTTAGTGTGGCATGGAATAAGCAAAACTGGACACAATTTCAGTAGGACAAAGTTGCCAAATAACATCAGGACCCCTTTGTGCTTAAACCATGGTTGCCATGGAAATTAAATGTGTAGTACTTGATTGGTCTTGGAGAGGCCAAACCTGAAAACTCACTCCTACAGATGATATTTTGATTTATTTTTTAAATAACACAAAGCTTAAAATTGCAGCAATTGTAAAAAAATATGTAGCCAAAAAAAGCTTTCATCAGGTTCCTAACTACATGAATATACATTTAGAAAAACTGACATTTTTATAAAAACTACATTTTTGACCGCTGTAACTGATGGTGTTACATGAATGGTAACCTCGAACTTCATTACAGGAAATCTAAAGGGATGTGTTGTTTCTCTACAGTTGGCTAAGGAGTTTTCTGATGTTTTCAGTATTAATAATAAGAAAAGTAAAGCTTCACTGCCACAGCGGAGTTACAAACAATAGGTACAGTTTACAACCTGGCTCAGGGCTGGGGCATATCGTTTGCACTCTGGTGAGTTATTAGACAGCCATTGCAGTTGTTACAGCCACTGTCCGGCCTGAATGTCACTCTTCCCGGGCCAGAGAAGTGATATTTCAGGGAATTCAGGAGCCAGGGTGTTTTTCTGTATCTTTACATAAAAAAAAAGTGCAATCCAAAGCAACATTGATTACATGTATTTTACAAATGAAAGCTATCTGAGGAGGTAAAACATTAAAGATTGATTTTAGTTTTTAAACTTTATTGTTTGTTCTATGCATTTTAATCTCATTGCGTTTTATTTATTGAATCTACTTAAAATGATTACAAACTTTAAAACAGAATGGAAAAAGTTATGAATTTAAGTTCAAAATACAAATTGGTTCTCTGTGGTGCCCTTGCAAATCCTCATACAAAACTAAGGAGTATTGTATAATCATTTTCAACAATGACATTATGAGCAATTTTATAAAAATGAAAAGACAAAAGTAGGAGTTATTAAAAAAGCCAAATATACTGTAACTACATCACTGAGAAAACTGGATTAGAAGAGAACCTCTGCCCATACTGTCTCTACCTTCAAGATAGTGATCTCCAGTTGCAAAAGAAAATGCATAGGCTGCTCCCTTAGTTTTTCTTATCCCTCTCTCAGACCTTTTCTACATGCCCAGATCCAATCGCTCCAAGTTATTCTTCTACCTCGTTGTGCTCTCTCTTTCCCTTGCTGGGTTAGGCAAGAAAACAGTTATAATGAACACACCAAAGATAATACAGACCAGGAATTACCAACCCTTGGGCCAGGGTACTGGTCCCTGGGCTTTTAGGAACCAGGCTGCGCAGCAGGAGACAGAGGGAAGCTTCATCAGTAACTAAAGTTGGTTCCCATGGCTGGAATTACCACCTGAGCTCCTACTCCTGGTAGATCAGCAGCAGCATTAGATTCTCAGAGGAGAACAAACCCTACTGTGACCTGCGCATGTGAGTGATCTAGGCGGCGTGCTCCTTACGAGAATCTAATGCCTGATAATCTGTCACTGTCTCTCATCATGCCCAGATGGGACTGTCTAGTGGCAGAAAAACAAGCTCAAGGTTCCCACTAATTCCACATTACAGTGAGCTGTATAATTATTTCAGTATATATTACAAGGTAATATTAATAGAAATAAAATGCACCTTAATGTAATGCACTTGAATTATTATAATGCACCTGGAATCATTCCCTCCACCAAATTCATGGAAAATTTTCTTCCATGAAACCAGTTCCTGGTTCCAAAATGGTTGGGGACTACTGGTATAGACTGACTTACAATTGTGCAAATAGCACTAAAGTTGCAAAAAAATGTCTGCTGCCATGGGGAAACAGAGTGTTACACTAAACAGAACTACCCCTTTAATTAATTCCTACTTCTTATTCTATATTTTATCAGAATATTTCTACATCCACCCAATCTGCTAAGTTGATACTCACCTAGCGTCTCAGTCACGCAAACTGCAAGCTGACGCTCCAAATGATATAAAAACTTAGAAATTAAATTATCTGTTTTGCTTTCCTTGACAGAGTAACTAAAAGTGTGCAGGTGCAAATGTCAAGTGCTGAATGAAGTAAAAGCACCTATCACCATCCTGGAGGACGATGGCAGCAGAATCAAGGGCACTGGCAGCCCATCACAGCTCTGTCACTGTCAAAATCCCTATCAGCGGTCTTTCCATAAGATTATCTGCTATACCAGGGTACTAAAACAGGGAACGTGGTTAGATTTACACTTCTTTGTGTGTCTAACATTTAATAAAACCATTTGATTGTTACTTTTAATTTTCTCCTTCTCAATGTAGGAGCCAGTATAGTGTATTAGAACATATATCAAAGTGCCCACTACTTTACGTTAAGTAAATACTTCTACCAAAAATTTTCTATTGCTCCTCTGAAATTCCATATTTAAAATGACTACTCTAAAGTATTTATTAAAACATATCTTATTGCTTATGATTAAAAACTTAAAACTATTTTTATTATAGCCGTTTGAAGTTTCAGCACTATCAAATATTTCTGAATTCCTGAAGCATATCAAAAGCTTCTGACTTCAGTTACTTTTTAATAATAGGACAGCTAATGCCTGCGCACAAACTAGTTAAAATTGCACACTGAGGCCGTCACATTCTTACATTTGTCACCCAATTAAACAAGCACCCAAGAGAACTGATAAGCGCAGCACACTAAAACCCAACAGACTCAGGCATGATTAGAAAGACAGAAGTGGATTTCTTGTTTCCACTGGCCATTACAGAGACAGTTCTGTCATTTCTTTTTTTTCTGAAAAATAAATTGGCTTTGCTACAAAAAAGTTTGAACAAATCCAAATTCTTTAGTAACTTCTTATCAGTAAAAGTCAGCAGTAAGTTGATGATAAAAAAAAAAACAAATCTAATTATACAGGAGAAATAGGAAATATATGGTGTACATGAATTATAAATAGATCATTAAAATTGTGAGAGCCAGGAAAAAAAAAACTGGCCAAATCTCTCTGCAATATTATAATCATACTACGTCCTGCTGCCACTTCCCTAGTTTTCTTTAGCTGAAATACAGCCAAATGATGATAATTAAGATAACTCTTTATCTTAAAAAATGACAGAATAGCAAAAATGGAAAAGACAAAAAGTTTAGTCATTTTTAGAGTATGTATTTGTTGGAATAAAATTTTAAAAATAATTAAAAATCCAATGTGAAATATAATTGCAAATTTTGTGTTCCTCTTCTTTCTGTAACCTTTCTGCTATATCTGCTTCTCCTTTACATTATTATCTTCCTGACTAATTCTTCCAGAGACCGGCGTCCCAGAGGGACTTTGTACCTTCATGGTACCGCTGGGACTTCATGAATCTTTACTGGCACCAGGCCTTTCTCGCATTGTAGCTACTCTAGTAACAATCTGCACTGGAGACATTCATGGTTATAAAACCCCAGGTCTGTGAACTTTGGGTCTCTAGAAGTTGTCTTTAACCACAGAACCACATGGTTGTTAGCACAACCCACCAAATTAGTAAACACACACAAAAAAAAATCAAAAAGGAGAAAAATGATTCCTCACTGGCAAGTATTTCAATTTATGTGTTTTATATTTTTCTAAGAAACAGACTACAAACTAAAATTACTATTCATTCAAACTTAATTTACTTAATACTGTTGAGGGAAAATTTTTGGTAATATATTGAGTATACGGCTTTTTGCCCATGAACTAAATAAAACCTAATGAAATGTATGAGCTATTATTTTAGCTGTTTTACGTGGCTTGCCTGCTTCTCCTACATTACTATAAATTTAATTTCACTTATTGATGTAACTATTGTGCCTCCTACCAGAAGCTCTTTTCATCACTTCTAAAACCTGGTTATAAATCTATCATCAATGAGAAAACCAGATAAGCAGCCTAGGTAGATTTGTTCCTGAGTAGCTTCTAAATGAAAAATTACAGGCTTCTTGCACATCTAAAACACAAGAACCTTAGGAATGAAAATTACGAAATCTCTTTATATTACTCAGGCATCTTCTTCACTTGCCTTTTAGTGTTCTGACATATTAAATGTAATTTAGGCTATGAAAAATAACTTCAAGGTTTTAAAAAATTATACATTTCAATTTACAAATACCCATATTATACATAATCCTATTGATATGCTACATTTTCTAGCACAGAGCATGAAGCAATTTGGTTACCAGAAAAAAATGGAGCACAGATATAAAATTGGTTTATATTTTCAGGTTTGTCACTTACTAGCTGTGTAACTAGAAGTATTAAGCTCCTGAGCCTCAGCAGTATTCTCCCCAGATATAAAGGTAAAAATAATTTACCTATAATACCAGGGGAAGGAATATATTTTTACAAATATGCACTTTTGTTTTAGTAAAAGGTACCAGACTCCAAAGTGTAATTTTATCATTAGTCAACATTGTAGTTACAATGTGCCAGTGTTCCTAGCTATGAGAAATGGTGTGTTTTGTCCATGCACAGAAGAACTATATTTTACAGATATTGGTACTTAATATATAAGATTCTTCTAATAAAGATACACTAATTTTCTAAGAAAGATATCTAATGTATAAATTTTTTACAGACCCAAAAATGAGTACTCATTATATAATATTTTCTAAGAAATACATTCCAGAGATATTACATTGATATTATCTATATAAATATACAAATAATTATATAGCTTCTAAAAATTATCATCCATTTAAGATAATCTTACATTTTGAATTTAAAATAAACAATAAAAAGATGAATTATACAGAAGTATCTGAGTTATTTCGTAAGGTAGAATTTTAAAATGTAATTAATACAGAAATGAAGATATAAAAATTATTCCAAAGTTAAACTCTTTAATAGTGTAAAACTAAATTGGCTAGTTTATGGTTCTGTATATAATATAAAATAATTTCCTATCAAAATGTTATGTCCCTATCAATATTTCTTTAATTTCAGAATTTGAATGAAGAAACTTAGGTTGTAGTCCTAAATCCAATTCTTTCCTTTCTTAGAAGAAATCATCGAAAACCAATTGTCCTTAACTTTCTCACATATCAAAGGAAATTATTTAAGGAAATGATCTCCAAATTCCTCTGATTACCTGCTAACCCCACAATCAGTACCAAAATGCTTGGAGAAGAATCTGCATTTACTATGTTTTCTAATTTCAATCATTTTATTACCCAAACCATGAAAGTATTTGTCCTAAATGTCTTTTCCAGTAGACTGGCCTTAGTCCTAATGACCAGAGGAGAAGGGTGTAGAGGATGCGTTGCTTGCTTTTCCTTCTCCCTTTTACTTTCCTTTTTTTTCCTTACCATAGTCTATTTTTTACCACCCACTGCTCCTTTCTATGCAACATTAATTAAAACATAATGATATATTTTTTTTTGCATTTTCTTCATCTAGCCACTTTACTAAATTTTTACAGAATTATTTTCCTATGTGTCATTAACAAAATTTTAAGTTATGTGCTTTTTTCTGGATTCTGACAACTAAATTGCTTTAGTCTTGCATTATTTAGATAATGTTTTTCACCTTTAGTGGCATATTTGAATCATATAAGGGGCTTTAGAAAAACTCCATCTTTGAAAATTTTTGTTTGTTTTTGAGATGGAATCTCGCTCTGTCGTCCAGGCTGCAATGCAGTCACGCCATTTTGGCCTCCCAGGTACAAGCGATTCTCCACCTTGCCCAGCTAATTTTTTTTTTCTTTTTTTAGTAGAGACGAGGTTTCACCATTTTGGTCCAGCTGGTCTTGAACTTCCAAATTCGTGATCCACCCGACTTGCCCTCTCAAAGTGTTGGGATTACAGGCGTGAGCCACTGCGCCTGGCCTATCCTTGAAAAATTTTACACAAGCTGTTGAATCCTAAGCACTGGTATTTTTTTTTTTTTTTATTTTACTTTAAGTTCTGGGATACATGTGTTGAACGTGCAGGTTTGTTACATAGGTATACATGTGCCATGGTGGTTTGCTGCACCCATCAACCCGTTATCTAGGTTTTAAGCCCAACATACATTAGGTATTTGTCCTAATGCCCTCCCTCCCCTTTCCCCCCAACCGCTGACAGCACCCTGTGTGTGATGTTCCCCTCCCTGTGTCCATGTGTTCTCATTGTTCAACTCCCACTTATGAGTGAGAACATGGGGTGTTTGGTTCCTGTTCCTTTGTTAGTTGCTGAGGATGATGGTTCAGTGCTGGTATTTTTAAAAGCTATCTAGAAAGTTTTAATATGCTGCTGGTGTTGAAAACCACTAGCTTAAAAAATTACTTGCTGTTATTACAGGCAAATGATTTCAATCAGACCTAGTTGATATTTTTTATTGTCTTACAAGTTTTAATAGTGTTGGGCACTGAATTTTCTGATATGACTTTTCAGTGTGTATGAATATAATCTTGTGGGATTTTCTTTTGACCCCTTTTATTTTTAGTTGACACATAATAATGCTACATATTTATGGTATACAGAGTGATATTTTGATATGTGTACACAATGTATTAATATAATGATCTAATCAGGATTATTAGCATATTCATCATCTCAAACGTATTATTTGTTTGTGTTGTGGACATTCAAAATTCACCCTTCTGGATTTTTGAAAATATACAATAAATTATAGTTAAGCATATTCACCCTATAATGCTGCAGAATGCCAGAACTCATTTATCCTATCTAGCTGTAATATCGAATCTCTTAAGAAATCTATCCCCGTCTTCCACTCTCCCCTGTATTTCCCATACTCTCAGCCTCTAAAGGGACCCACAATTCTACTCTCTACTTTCAGGAACTCCTTTTTTTTTTTTTGGCTCCCCCATGTGAGTTAAAGCATGTAGTATTTAGCTATCTGTGTGTGCCTGGCTTCCTGCTTAACATGATATCCTCCAAGCTTTCCCATGTTGATATGATATGATCCCATGGTTTTTAAAAATATAAATCACCTACTCACATTTCCCATACACATTTCAAATTTGTTTCAAGGTCACAGACCTTTGGGGGTCTTACATTTATGGGTACCCCCTAGACACTCTATCTTGGACAAAATTTGAACTTTGTCATTGTACTTTGAGCCCCATGAGAATAAAACAAGAGTAGCGCAAATCCATCTGACTCAGCAGATGCTATGGAGATCTCAGTGCCCCCTCTTTGCATGGTTTCATTTTTTATTATGGTTTCAGAATATCTTTCTAATCAACTTATGAATACAAAGAAGAATGGTTTTATTTTTAATCCATTATTTTTATTTATTTTAGTGGGAAATCTGTGTTACCTCTTCCTATTAAGTTGGTGCAAACGTAATTGTGGTTTTGCCATTACTTTCAATGGCAAAAAAGTATTTTTATTTTCTTTGTTGTTTTTAAATTCGTTTTATTTATTTAATCAAGTTGCTATTTGCTTTTTTATTTTACTTTAATTTAATCTCATTTCACATCTGCTTGTCATTAATAATTTTCTCCTATTTGCCAATACTTCTAATTGAAACTTGTTATTCTGATATTATATGAAAATTATATTTCATCAAAAAACTCTATTCCACGATGTGCCACCTGCCCATTAAGATGCTATCATTTTAATTTTTTCATTCCATCATTCTCCTACCTCTACTCTCCACCTACCCAGGGTACTTTTGGAATTTTTCTATTTCTATTCCCTCCTTCACTGAAAAATGTTTCAAGAAAATTTTTATATGTTTCTATATTTTATTCTGAGATTGTGTAGTTCTAAACTAGGATAACAATGTGTTTCTGCATTATGTCCCTTTTGTTTTAAAAAATCCTTATATAAAACATAGTACGTATATTCAGAATCTATGAGGTCGCATGGAGATTTGAACTCTGACTATATTTATATACATTCAAGCACACACACACTCATGCACTCACATACACCTCTATATATTATATGTTTATAGCTCACCATCACTTCAACTATTCATGTTTTCTATTCTGAAATCTCAGGTTTTAATGTTTACTATTTTCTTAGCATTGTTTTTAAAACAGAATCTTCATACATAGTGAATTATAAATCTCAATTTTGCTTATTCACAAGATCTTGCTTTTACCTTTACAAATATATATTTTTATAGATATATAATATCTGGGTTATGAGAAGAAAACGAGGAATGCCCAAAGTCATACAATTCAGCAAACACTGCCAATGCAGTTGTTTTCTTTTAGTAGACTATAAATTTTGTGTGTGCTTTTTCTTTTATGTAATTTATATTTTCAAATGATGTATCTTCTGATACAATATCTATATTATATCATAAATTAAGTTTTCTTGTATTTTTATTTCCTTTTTATCTTATGGTTATAAGACAGACTGTTAATTTTTTTATTTGTAACAATTCTCTATGAAATAATATGTTATTCTCAACAGCAAATTATTTGAGACTATTGTTCTCCAGTTTTAGAGAATGTTCTCTCTCAGTTATATTTCTTTAGAGGCTTACAGTGATTTTTCCAAATGACATTGCCTTTTCTGTTGTGCCTCACCTTATGGGATGCTATTTTTTTCTTTATTTGCTCATTTGGACTCCAGTTCAATGGCAAGAATATTAGAAGACTTTGTTGGTAGCAACCGTGAAAATATTGAAAGACTGCTGGAGAAAACTACGCCATGCGATTGTAGCTTAAGTAGAACATCAGTAGCCTGTTAGTTCTCAGATAAGAATCATGTCACTTTCATTGATGTAAACATATTCTCCAGCAGCCCTGAGCACAACACAGACACTGAATAAACTTTCACCAAATACGCAAATCAATTGGATAATCTGCAGACTTCCAGCCATGCTTACCCTTATACGGAGCACTAAATATTTTTATTATTTCTAGCAATTACAGAATCACTTACTGTACATATTGCTTTAATTTCTAATATTATTCATTCAAGTAAGAACAATTAATATATTCACTAATCTTATTCAAACAAAAAATTTTATGAGATGGTTCAAATGCAAAAACTAGCTACTGATTTCTGTTAAAATAAGCATCCAGAAAAGTAAAATGTGTTAACTGGAGCAAAAATAGTATGTATTAAGTAAAAGTATGGACGTTTTATAATTTCCAGCTTTCTTTTAGGTCATCATTTTCAATGGACAGGATTCTGTTTGGTTTTCAAGCTTCAACTTAGACCAAAGGTAAACTCGTTTGAGAGTTTGAACTGAGTTGTTTAAGCCATTTTTGAGTTATGCAAAGGTGAGAGTACATTATTCATGTACCTAACTAAAACAGGCCCCAACATTTTCTACTAATGCAAGTCACAAAGGACTAATGCTATATATTTTATAGTCAACAGGATTATTAAATTTCTCACCAAAACCTCTAAATGTAAAGGGAAAAGTCATTTTTAAGATGACAAAATTTCCATTTATGAGTCCAAAAATTGCTAATAGAGGACTGTAGTTTAAAAGAAAAGGAAATACAATTAAAGCCAACTCAGATTTCCACCTAAGTTAGATAGAAAATGGATATAGGACAAATATCAAATTAGTGTAGCATTTCAGGGCAGAAATGTTATGAAGTTAATGCACTTTAAAATGTAAAAGTAATTCAACCTCAACCTTTTACAATCTACCTAGGGGGGAAAGCGGCAAACTAAAATTTAAATTCTATGCCAAGCACATCCTCTAGTGAGTTTTGATCACTTAAACTTGAGCTCCTTTTAAGCAGCACAATGGGTAAAATATCCATTATCAAGTGGCATATAATAAATTTAGAATTACATATCACATCACCAATTATTTCTTAAACCTAGCTAAGTTTTGTTTAATTCCCAGAGCCAAAAGTGTTCAAATTTAAGATGGAGAAATAATATACTAAATGTTTAAAATGCTAAATAGGAAAAATATGTCTTTTTAAACTTGACATTTATGTCAATGGCATTTCATATTTTTAAACTCATTTTTACTCCAACTTACTGTGGTAGTTTTGGATATCTATTCAATGCCTTTCTAGTTACCACAAACTTCATAAGTCTGTCCTTTATGTCATTACTCAAGTTGTGATGAAATTGTTGAATCAGATGGGGTCAGGAGTACTGCATCACTCAATTTTAGAGAGTATTATCTGTGGGCATTATATGAAAAAAAAATAAGAAACTCTCCAAGTACTGAGCAGCTCTGTATGGTTTAAGAAAGTATTGCAAGAATTTAGCTTGGAACAGCATGAAGACTGCATTTGTGTGATAATAAACAAAGCTAGGAAGTGATACAATGCGTGGTCCCTGAACTAGTTCCTATTAGGAACAGAAGGGAAGGAATGGAAACCAGAGAAATCTGCAAAACCCGTTCACTGATTAGACATAGACAGTAAAAGGAGAAACGACAAAGAGTTATTTGTAACCATTTATAATTTGACATAACTGTGATAAACTGAAGGAAACATTTTCAATTACTGATAATGTTGGAAAATAACTTAGTTTTGGTCAGTTTAGAGTTGATGCTTGATAAAATATAAAATAGACAAAACATATGCTCTTCTTTGATGAAATTTCTTATGTGTCAATACTTCATTAATAAAAATTACATCAAATGCACAATTATTTATTAGCATGTAAGAAAACATTTTCCGACCCAGATCAGCCTGTAAGAAGTCTCTTCTTTCAGAGGCCTCTAATGCGTTTTGCCTCTATTCCTGAGATCATCATTAATATCTCTGCCTCTATTGCTACAGTTCACATTTCCATTTAGGCCACTGTGATAGATTGTATTGGTGGTCAAAACATTTTCTGAAGCTCTATAACCCCACATATGCGATACCTTCCTCTAGGGAAGGAATAAATCTTCTCTCCAATGAGTATCAAAATCAGGGTAGTGAAAGCCAGCTGTCTGATATGAAGGTAATAAAAGGTGCACCATGTGCACAGAGTTTTTAGATCATATTTATGAAAATGAAACTAGACTGCTTTCCATCATTACCATGTACTGGCAATTCTAAGTGTTGTCAGTGATAAGATAAACCACCCTCCAAAAATGCTTACTGGTCCAAGTTCTAGACAATCGTCTGGGCTCAGGGCAGCCCTTGTTCTATCACTGTACCACCTTCTGACCTCAGGACTGATCATATGACTTACTTTACCACTGGCATGGAAACAAGCTGAAGTGACAAATGCCACTCTTAAACATAAGCTTTAAAAAACCATCATCTGCCTGTGACTTTTTCACTTTTCCCTTTGCTAGAAAGGACTCAAGAAGAGGTGCTTCTTTAGCTGGCTTTTGGTGTAACTGTACATAGCCATAGCTAGTTTGCGATAGATATGTAACATGAGTGCAAAATAAACCTGTGTGCTTTAAACCACATTGGAAATTGTTTAGATCATGACATGACTAGCCATTTCTTTCTAAGACAGCACTATCAAGAATGTTAAAATTGCCATCACAATTTCATCCTCATGTCATGTTAAACTGACAGCAAACTGTATTAGGGCATCCATTCCCTCATACCATACCTCGTGCCATATACTTTTCTGTAAATCTAGAAATATTTAAGTCAATAAAAGGCGTATTTAGAAGATGGCCTTTCCTAGGGTTTTTATCACTTTCCTAAGCGATGAACTTAAAAATTCCTATCATTTGTAGGTAGGGGAATCAGGCTTTCTTTTATTTCATTTAGTCATGAAAACTAAATGCTTTGTTAAACAGACAAGAGGCAAGTCAAGAAGACCTACACCTAGTAATACCAGTACCAATAATATTTGACAACAATCTCGGCAAAATTTTAAGTGACAACTCAAATAAACTGGGTTGTCAAACATTTGAATTCCTGCAGTCATTTCATTCTTTGACATTTGGGAAGCAGAACTTTAGAATGGTCTGCAAACCACTTTTCCAACCACCCTCCAGTGATTATGGATGGAAATACACAAATTCACTGGAAAACTTAGCCTGTATCTCAGGTTCAGTACATTTTCATAAATTTTAATACACGATTCTTACATTGTATCTTGGTTTTAATAAGAAATATTCCCTTAACCGGGCATGGTGGCTCATGCAGATAGCCCCAACAATATGGGAGGTCAAGATGGGATGATCTCTTGAGGCCAGGAGTTCAAGACCAGCCTGGAAAATATAGTGAGACCCCCATATCTATACATAAAAACAGTAATAGTAATAATAATAACATTTTAAAAAGTAAAACACCCTTAATTTGGTTCCCTTTTTAGTAATTGGCTTCTTTTGGAAAGGGTAAGAGGATTTTGAAATTTCTACTCTCTAACCTAATTATTTTTCTGTGTTAGAGCTTATTCCTGAGTCCTGTGTATTTGCCTGAACTTGTACTTATAACTATGAGCACAATGGTTTTAAAAAATAACATTTATAAAGCACTTAATATGTGCCAGGCACTGTTCTAAGCACCTTAAATATATTAACTCTCTCAAGTTTCCTGACAACGTTATAATGTAAAAGCTATTATTATATTCATTTTACAGATGATTAGACTGAAACATAGAGAAGATAATTAATTGAGCAAAATCAAACAATCAATAGGTAGTGATATTGGGACACCAACCTAGGGCCATGGAGCTCCCGAATTAGAGCTCTTCATTTGTCTCCAGCCTCTTTTGATACCATGTGCCATGCTGAACCAAGGGGTATGTATGTACAAATTGTATAGAGAAATGGGAAATAAGGAGATATTTATCTCAAACACTTAACTCTCTCCCCAGGAATGCAATAAAAGAAATTGAGAAAAAGCACCCAATATCTAATAAAGACTGTGTAGCATCTACTAACAGGTAGATGATCGATTTTAGAACAATATGGGAGGAGTAGAATGCAAGGGTATATTTTTCATATCACTTAAAATGATATTTAACAGCATCTTGAACAACAACAACAACAAAAGAAACATAAAAACAGATGGCTCATAAACCATGTTCACACATTTCAGAACCAACAAATAGTTTCCTTATTTACCAGAGATCTTATCAAATATAAGCAAACCAATTCAGTTTATCTTTATATTCAGGCACTGATGATTAATAAAAAGGTGATTTTGAAAACACTGAATTCTTATTCATTCAATAAATGAGAGAAGGGAAGTCGCTCTACTAAAGGTTTGTCAGATACACTGTAACACAGATTTAATAGAAAGTCACTTTGTATGTAGTTTACAAAGATAATTTTTTTCCTTCTAAGCACCTATCTTACTTGCCGCTGATATTTCACAAATTCAACAAAATGCATTCAACAAATATTGGCTGAGTGTCAGCATGCACTATGCTGCTGTGTTCCATGCTCAGTGCTGCAAGCATTTCAAAGATGAGGGAGATTCTGCCAAAGAGCTTTACGTATCAGTTACACTGTCAGGATTTCCTAGTTTAACTGTGCTGTGATCTTGATGCTTTGGAGGCTATGATGTAGAAAATACAGAATTACTGTGAAAATAAATAGCAACTGTGTGTTGTTAAAAATAAAGTACCGAGAGTACTGAGTTTTCTTTCTGCTTATTAGAAGAGCTGTTACTCCACTACACTGAGGCAGAAGAAACACGAGGATGTGGAAAGATTAAGGCCTACCGGGGATTCCTGTGAAACTTTTCCAAGCTGTTTCAGCATTCATGCTATAGTCATTACCACTTACCTAATTTTAGCAATGCGAAACTCTGGGATTGCTGCAGTTTCTGATTGCCACAACATCATCAATTCTGCTCACGCTGAGTTAGGTTCATTTAATTTCAATTAGCATTTATTGAGCTCCTACCTTATGCTGAGCTCTGATTGGAGAGATGAGAAAATAAACTACTTGTGTAATAAAATAAGTGCTCAATAACATTATGTTGCATAATAATGGCTGTGACTTTTAGCATTTTCATATGCTAGGTATTGTTTTAAGAGCTTTACAAACATTAACTCATTTGAAAAATAAAAAATAGAGAGAATTCAATGAAACTGAAAGCTCTTTCTTAGAAAATACCAACAAAGTTAAAAAAAAAAAACGTTTAGCTAGAAAGCTTACTCTTGGAAGAGATCAACAAAGTTGAAAAAATGTTTAGCTAGACTGATCAAGATAAGAGAGAAAACGCACATAGCTAAAAGTAAGGAGATGAGAAATAACTAAAAATTAGGAGTAAATAAGGGATATTACTACTGACCTTACAGAAATAAAACAGGATATTAAAGGAATACTGTGAACAATTGCATGCCAACAAATTGTATAATTTCCACGAAATGGAAACATATCTAGAAAAACAGATTTTCTTAACTGATGACCTTAATTTCCTTTATAACATAGAATATGAAGGTCATTGCTCAGCTTTAGAGGGGTCAAGGGTGAATAGAGTTGGTGAGGATAGTGACAAATGTTTGGAGGAGCCACGTAGTTATAAGATAAGGCTGAACAAGGGCTAGGCCTGGTGGCTCAAGTCTGTAATCTCAGCACTTGGGGAAGCCGTGGTTGGAGGATCTCTTAAGCCCCTTGAGTTCTTGAAACTGAACTCAAGAAGAATGATATAGTATGAATAAACTTATAACAAGTGAAGAGATGGGAGTAATAATCAAAAACTACCTACTAAGAAAAGTCCACACCTAGATGGTTTCAGTGTTAAATTCAACCAAAAATTCAAGGAAGAATCAATACCAATTCTTCACAAACTCTTCCACAAAACAGAAGGAGAATTTCGCAAATCCTTTTATGAGGCCAGTATTAACCGCTACCAAAACCTGTGATGTATCACAGGAAAATATAGTCTAATATCCACTTTGAATATAGGTATAACAATCCTCAACAAAATACTGACAAACTGGATCCAGCCACATATAAAAGAAATATACACATTGAACAGATGGGATTTAGCCCAAAGAATGCAAGATTTGTGCAGCAACCTAAAATCAATTAATGTATTAAACCATGTAAATATAATTTAAAAATTTTAAGAATCACATGCTTAATAGATACAAAAAAACATTTGACAAAATCAACACCCTTTCATATAAAAAACACTCACCAAACTATGAACTGAAAAGAACTTCCTCCGTATTTTAAAGCGCATGTAGGAAAAACCCACAGATAATATCCTACAAAATAGGGAGAGAATGAATACTTTCTTCCTAAGCGCATGACAAAGGAAGAATTTCCACTCTTACCACCAGGACAAGGAAAAAAACAGAAATAAAAGGCATAAAGACTGAACAGGGAGAAGTACTATTATCTCTGTCTGCAGATAACATTATCTAATAGAAAGTCAAAAGGAATCCACTAAAAAAAAAATTAAGTAACTTAAGAATTTTTTAAAAAAGAAAAGTAAAACAGAGTGGTTAACAGCATGAGAGAGGGGGCAGAGGGAGGTCATGAAGAGATATAGGTCAATGAGTATAAAGTTGCAGTTATGTAGGATGAATAAATGCAGAGATCCAATGTATGACATGAGGATTATAGTTAATAATATTGTATTGAATAGCAAAAATTTGCAAAGAGAATAGATTTTACCGGCTCTCACCACAAAGAGAAAAGGGTAAGATGAAAAGATGATGGGTATGTTAATTTGCTTGGCTGTAGTAACCATTTCATTGTGTTTAAGTATAATAAAACATTATGTTGTACACTTTAAATTTATACAATCAAAAAGAGTATCAAATGTGAATCTTTCCTATGAATGCAAAATATAAAATTTGCAATTGTTATGAATGGTTCACATGCATATTTTCTTAGGTCTTCTTAAAGTAAGATTTTAAAATATGTACATAGAAGTAAAACCCTAACAATAAATATACTGTCATTTTACTGATTTTACTCCCAAATAACAAATAATTTACTTATCAAAACTGCTTCTTGGAAAAGTATTGTTGGGTTTAATTTTATAAATAGCTTTAAAATTGTTAATGTAATATATTTTATAACTCAGAAATGTAAATTCAGAGTTAGCTATAGTGCCTCTTTTCAACATCACCTACAACATTCTTAAGTCAATTATGCAGCACTAAAAAATCATTTCTAGGTAGATATTTTTAAGCTGGAATAGTGACCTTAAAGTTAATTATAATATATTGTTTCTGCTTTATCCTAGGTTTGCTGCACAAAACTTTCCAAACGCTATAATCTTGAAAACCATCTGATTGTCTTTTCTACTTTGAAGAATATGAGAAATACAGTAACATATTAGTAATTATTTTACAAAAATGATTACTTTCCAAAATTTTTAGTAGTTATAAAAACTTAATTTCATTCAGTGCATAACTTCTAAAAACAAAAATAATAAGAAAATCCTGTTTGAAAATATGTATGCCATAACACATCAGGTAATTAAATATCCTTTCAAAGTATATAATGTATTGTGTTTTTCTCATCACTGTCAACATTAAAGTTTATTAGACTATTTAAAAATAAAAAGATGTTAGTGTAATTTTTTGAATAACTTCAGTCCATTGAATTAATCTTCACAAAATAATGAGCAGTTCTAAACATTATACTTCACATTTTATTGGACTACAAGTGATAATGTGAAATAATATTTAAATGCCATTAATTGAGGAATATGGCAATTAACTAAGCTACCTGAGTGTTTGTGCCACTTTTATTTACAGATTTGTTAATGAATTACTGTCTACATTTATATTCATAATTATAAAAGACAAAACAAACAAATTGCTTTATTCCACTTTCTAGAAACTGGCTCATAGTGAAACAAATTGTTCAACACTTGTGTTCTGCAAGAATTAGCATGTTAAAAGCTGGCATGATTTTGAAGACTTACTTATTATTTTTGCTGTTACCTGATAACAATCCTATTTTACTTTAATTTTTAGCAGTTCCATCTCCTAAATTCTGTAAATCGCAGAGCAACTTCATTCAATATTTGCTCTAGAAATTAAATGGCTACTACATGTCACTTAAAACATAACTTACATTACCAAATCAAACTGTGAATCTTGTTATCCTTAGTTTGACAATTTAAAGCATACAAGCAATGCACTGAACCTTTAGGGATTTAGTAAAAGAATTAAGATCTTGGTTTCAGAGACTACAAGAGCACTTTACGTTGAATTGTTTATTCAACTACAAAGGATTTCAGTAGTTGAATGCCCTTAGATCCAGCCTACTGAAGTCGCCTCACCCGGCTACTCAGTTCCTCAAACTTACTTCTAAGCACTTGCAGATTTAGACTTACAAATCAAGAGACAGCTTTTACCTGTGCAGGGACACATTTAATAACTAATAAAAATGAAAGATACTCTCCACACAAACTTGCACAGGCACATCAGTGTTCATGTAACAGAGCTGTGAACTTCCTACAGTGCACATGGTCATTCGTTTCTGACTCTGCTCTTGCTTGAACACAACACATAAGCACAATGCTTTTCCCTGGAACCTTCACAATAACTCAGACTGCAGCTAACCCAGGCCTGGAAAATCATCAGCTACTTAAAATTACAGCTGCCTCAGATGGAAATTCTCATTAGGCCTAAATTAAATGCTGAAGGGTGTAACTGCCCGCCCTCTTTCCCATTCCCCACTACCTCACCATCTCACGCTTGCACTCCCTATGAATTTCCATACCCGTATTCTTGGCTATGTTGATATCAGCTGGTGCTTATTTCATTTCCTCTTTTCCTTAGATACAGCACAAACAAAGATGGGTACTTCTGATCACAATGATACAGTCCCTGTATCATTGCCACTGTTTGCTGTTTCCTCCACCTAATACAAAGCCCCCTTTCCTCCCATCTCCCGCCACTCTACACACACGTTGAAACATTTCTCTCCTATGCACTGGAACTCCTTTCCATGGTTAATGGACAATGGGCATTCCCCGTAGCCCTGTGAAGGTGAGGCTGTTGACTCCCAAATTCCAGATGACTCTTTCTTCATCCTCAGAACTGCTTAGATGACACACTTCCTGTAAGTGTCACTTCTCTGGGACTCGTTTCCACCACATAGCCGGGTTATACACTTAGCAAGGCATCATTATTTCCATTTGTCTTCACAGAGTCTAAAAACAATGCCTGTGTACAATTGTATGCCTCATTACAACTTACATTTTTTTTGCAACATACTTCTCCTGTGGGAGAAGACGAGTATGTGCAAATATCCATTATGTTTTGACATGAAGTGTGTCTGTGTATTTCTTACTGAGAGTACAAAAACTCTATTGTATAATTTCACTTGGTGCTGAACAACAAAAAAAATCAATAGCCATATAATAAAATCACTTACAACAACGTTTTCTTCTATTAGAAAATACAGTTTGGCTTAAGCTTCTGTTTATATCCTTGAAATTGATTCCTGGAAAAACCTTGTTGTCCTCAGCAACTTCAAGCTAAGTTTCTCTAACAACATCTTACCAAATTTTTAAATTAACTGAAACATCTGCATTCATGCTGCCTACATTTTTATCAATACAGCACAGATATTATTTACATGCTTGTTACTCAATATAACATTAGTCCCGGAGTCAGAAGTCAACTAACTGTATTGCATGATTTACACCTACTAAAGTCTGTTTTCCATCAGTCTACTAGCAACATTAGGATTTTGCTGTACTGTTTGTGTAACCCTTAAGCTAAAGGTATTTCCACATTACCTTTTTTTTTCCTCCAGTATATCCCGAACAGAAAGGTATATTGGAGCTATCTCCCTAGCATTCTTAATCCATTTATGAGTTTAAGTTGGAGCGGCAACCTTCCAACTAACCAACACAAAAATGAACACACATTTATTTTAGTTTCATAAAGTAATGAAATGTTACATTTAATCCTTCATTTTTGTATTAACTATGAAAGGTTAGATTTGAAACACTCAGAAATGCTCTCTCTTTATATTTTGTTATGGTTGACGTAGGCTAGGATTATACTGTTCTGACTCTTAATTTTACAATGGCCATTTGACAAATGAAATTACTTTGACCTAATTTGCCAGAGAATATCTCTGAAACTTATTGTTTAGGAGATAACAATTTCTCCTCTCTCTCAATCTCTTTGTGTTATTCATTTTCTTTTGAAAAGCAGAACTACATTATTCTCCCCTTTTCTGTTTTGATAAAGTCAACTGTAGTGTAGTCAAAGTCAAATGACTTTTAATCCACTAATTCTAGATTATGGTATATTTTGCCTTCTAGAAACCCATATAACCATGCACTTGTACATCTTAATATATGTTAAAAACATTGAGGGATAATTTTCCATGAAGCAGGACTTCCTAAAGATATTTTGTGCCATGGAAGACTTTGAACCCTGTAACGCCTCTCTTCTCAGGATGGTATTTTTAAATGGGTAAAATAAATTAAGGAGAATTATAAAAGAAATTAATGTTATTAAAAGAAATTTCTATTCATGTATACGTTGAGAGGGAGTCTGTGCACCACAAGATAAATTTTTACAATTCAAATATATTTTAATTATATTTAGCCATAAAAAATATTGACCTACTTATCAAGTAAAAATTATATTGAAATACATACAATTTCATCTTAAATTTATCATATAACTGAAAGCAAAAAAATCGTAACTATATTTTTTTAACATAATTGTTTACATTGATGGGATAAGCAAATACATAGAAATGCATTTTGGATACAGAAGAAAGAAACAATGGAAGGAGAGAACTTTAGCATAGACTTACTCTTACCTTTATGGCAGTGGATGCAATTTGAATGTGGTGCAGTCTCCGAAGCGTGCTGTCCCTGTCGATGAAATAAGAGGCCGCTAGCTGATGCAGGGTCTCCAGAGTGACGGAAGAGCTGTTGGTGCTGGAATCACTTCCTTCAGCTCGTCTGCTCAACTTCCGCTTGTCCACAAAAATTGTGAGTGACTCCTCTCCTGCATTAATAATATTTCAAATTATTTCATTTTCCACTTAAAATCAATTTTTAGATATCTGCAGGTGGGGAGGCCTAGATTACAGATGTAATAAAACAAAGGAGTGATATACACCAAAATGGGAGGGGGTCTTACTGTTTCATCATGAATATTTCTCAGGTACCTCAAAAAATGCCTGGGATGTTAATCACTTTAAATACATAGTTACCGAATGTCAAATACTTAGCTTCTGTAGAACAATTGCTCCAGATTTTATTGACTTTCTGACATAGTTTAGCATAACACTCATACGGTCCAATAGAAAATTAAATTATGTAAAACACACTTAAGTGAGGTACATAAAATGAAATTGTATTTACTCGGAAATTTGTACCATAGAATAGAATATCAAATGGAAACATCTGGACTTTGAAAATTCAGATAAAGCATGTGTATGTATATACAGGTAGGTATATATATGTAATAAATTCAGAATTTCCATGCACAGGATGTATTAAAACATTGTGTCTTAATACACTGCATTAAAAACACTAAAATCTGTGAAGGATTTAGATAGTGGCCATAGGTTCTCAAAGGTAAAACACAGAGCATATTCCAGTTCAGCTGCAGTTTTCCATGTCCAAAAGACAAAAACTCATCATTTAAGTTAGACATTGAGAACTTGTGATCCTCTGCCTACCATATTATTGGATACTCATCTAGCACACAATTGTCAAACTTGCTGTTTTCATTCTCTCAGGAACCTTTTTGTTTGGGTAGCATTGTGCCCACTTATAAACTAACAAGTCACTTTTATGAAAGGGAAAATCAGTTTGTCTAATAGAGTAGTTGGCATTTCCTTTTTTTCTTGTAACAATATCAATTTTAAAATGACACCGACCAGGTGACAATCCAATTTTAAGTAAGAGCTCTTACATGTCTACTAGAGATCAGGTCAGCTTTTCTCAGAATTAGGTTTCAGCAAATGCTATTTCTAAAACTCACATTTCCTGTTTGTATTTGGACCCCAACATGCATATTGGAAATCAGTTAGAAGAAGTAGAATAAAGAAAAAATACATCTTTTAAGAATAAATAGGTAGGTCAAATCATCAACAATATAAGGCCATGTACATGATAAACAGCTTTGGAGTAGAAGCAGCTGAAAGTGAAAAAGAATATATACGTAAATTCTATAAAAACAAACAAAAAAAATCTCCTACAATCATTTTCTCTAAGAAAAATATAAACAGATGAGGAAATTTCAGGAAACTCATCTCAGAATTACCACTGAATCAGAAAAACTCATTCATGTGATAAGTTGTGAGGGCGCCAAAACAAACAAATACCCTGCAGACAGATACAGAAAGAGCAACAGTGGTATGGTGGGCCAGGTAAATATTCAAAATGCAGCTCCGTGAATTATGCAAGAGACATGTGCAACTAAGAAAAATTAAAAATTAAATGACAGAGACATCTTGGTAAATGTAAATTAAACAAAGCTAATGAGCCTGATATTACAGAATTTAGGCCAAATAACGTTAAATGAGGAAAAATAACAACACTGTATAGTGCTAAGAACTGAAACTTGCAAAGTGCCTTTAATAGCAACATTTTTCATAAAGCAGAAGATACAGGAGTAACAGACATACGCTGATGATATTATAAGACTTCAACACACATTTCTTAGACTAAACTAGATACAAGGAAGATAAAAAGTAATGATAGAAATTTCTACAACCTCAAAATAAGGTAGAGCTTATCCATAAATTTTGGACCTTATATTAAGAATAGTTCAAATAAAACGTACTTTCAAGAATACACAGAACAGTTAGAAAAGGTGACCATATATTTTGTTACAAAGAAACTCTTAGTAAATTCCATAAATTCGTAAGAATATAGTATGAGTCACTGATGGCAATATAAAAAAATAAGTTAATGGAAATTTTCAAAAGATACTACATATGAAAAATCCCTATTGCATAAAATTTAAATGACAGGATAAATTAAGGCAGAATTACAAATTTTAAAGGAAAATGTTATGTACCAGAATTTAAGGAACAAAGCAGAAGCACTGCTGAGAGAAATATCCACAACTACAACATATATGAGTTAACTACATGATTCTAAAATCAAAGAAAAATGAGTAAAATAAAATCAAATAAAAATAAATAAAATGGTAAAAGCAGGTCTTAGTTTTTTTTAAAATGAGTGGAAATGATAAATACACCCAAAAGTAACTCCTTTCAGAAAAAATAAACACCAACTAGTTAACCTACATTTTTTTCTTCTTGGAGAAAGAAAGTTACATAAAGAATTGACAGAATAAATAAAGCAGAGAACAGAACATTTTTTAAAAAAACATGAAAATAACTATTTTCTAAAACATATTGCAAATAAGATTAGGTGTCACAGAACATTTCCACCAAAAAAAGGAAAAAAAACAATGAAACAAAAAGAATGAACATATCCAAATAGTTCACAGTGGAATTTTGCCTAAACTTTCAAGTATAAAAAAATTGATATTACTGAAAATGTAAAACTTCTGAATCTATTTTTATAAACTGAGTATAACATTAGCAAGATATCTGAAAATCAGACACAATATATTTTACGATTACTGAATATTGATATAAAATTATGACTAAAGCAATAGCAAACAATATCCAACAGTAAATATTTAAAATGCATATCTGATGACCAATAGGATAATTCTAATACTGCAGGAGTGGCTCAATAGTAGGAAATAATTACTATAACCAGCATATTAACATATCCAGAAACAGAAATGCTGATATCCCTTATTGCTTAAAATATACTTCATAAGTTAATTAATTTAAAATTAATTAATAATAAATTAGGAATCAATGAATACTCTATTTTTTCCATAGAGATGGAATCTCACTATGTTGCCTAGGCTGATCTCAAACTTCTGACCTCAAGTGACCCTCCTACTTCTCAGCCTTCCAAAGTGTTAGGACTGCTGTCATAAGCCACTGCACCTGATAAATACTTCTTTAAAGAAATAAAATATAGGGTCCTAAGCATAAAAGCCGGCATCTTTCTTAATGGGGAAACCCCAGGAGGCATCCCCATTAAAATTAGAACCAAAGAAACAAACCCACAAATGCTTCTACTATTCAACATGCTAATAAATATATTAAAATGTAAATATAGAAGAGAATGCAAATTAGAATCACAGTGTTAGAAACAAACACTTAAACTATGTTCATTCTACACATAATATGATTATGCTGGTGAAAAATCAAAATTTAATGGACAAACTACTACACACATACAGTAATAAAACAGTAAGGTACAAGCAAATAATAAAAATATTACTAACTCAATAGATTGAAACATACAAATATTAACGAGGTATAAATAATAATGGACTAGGGAACACACTTTATATGGAACAAAAAATGTGAAACATACATGAAAAAAATTAAAAATCATTTCTGAAAGTTGCCATAATAGACTTTAATAAATGATATGATAGTTTTTTTTTCCTTGAGCAGAAATATTCAACATTCAAATATATCAATTTCCCTTAATATATAAAGATGTAATCTGATTAAAAACCTGGACAGATTATTTTTTGTTTCCTGAAATTAGGAATATTTATCATGTCAATAATGAAGTGTAAGTGGAAAAAGTAAGAAAGGCTTTAAAGAATAATAGGCAAGCGTGAGAACATCTTACCATATCCGAATGCGTACTGTAAAATCTGTGCAGTTAAACAGTGCAGACGGACACATGGATAGGCAGACAAATGGAACAGGAAAAACACCCATAAAATAGCAAGTACATATAGAAATTCAGCATGTAATAAAATGAGATAGTAATTCCTGGGGAAAAGATATACTTTTTACTAAGTGACACCTAAATAGCCATTTGGAAAGTAAGGGATATGACTCTACACAAGGATAAATTCCAAAAGGATTAGAGACACTATTATTTAATGAAATGAAATCATGCAAGTACCAGAGAAAAATTCGTAAAAATACAAAGAAAAGAAATAATTCATAACAAAAAAATCCCAAAGTAAGGAAATAAAAGATAAATGAATCAGAACAAGTAAAACCAGATTTCTTTCTAGCGCAAAATCACAATCAAACAAATTTTGCAGTGATAAGGAATATTTACAACTTATATAACAGACAAATGGTTAATTCCTTTAACATTCCAAGAACTCCTAGAAATCAAGAAAAAGAAAACAAGATGTGGATAGAAAAACAGATATAAATAGGAAAAGAGATTTCAGACAAGAAGAGATAAACCTAGCCCACCTAGATTTGAAAATATATTCAATCTAAGTCATAGCATAAGAAATACAAATTAAAAATACATTACTTTGCAATGACAGAATTTGCCAAAATCCAGACTTTGACAATTTGGGCAAATCTATTGGAAAACTAGAAATAAACAGGTTCTCTAATGTATTGTTGGTGGAATTGCAAAATGATGTAACTAATATAAAGGGAACATTGGCAATAGTCATCAATAACCAACTCTACAATCCTACATTTAAGAATGTATTTCACAGAATGACTGCAAAATATGCAAAATGTGTATCACTGTGGCTTTATTATTGACAGTTAGCGTCAACATAAATACCTATCAGTAGTAATAAACTAGATTACAACCATTCAGTAGAATACTGTGGAGCCAGAAGGCAGCAAAAAGGATTTCTACAGAGATCTCATAAAGTGGATAAAAATTGTTTCATGATACTTTTTTATAAGACAAGGGAAAGATATAAGTATACAACATATGTATATATTTCTTTTTGTTTGGAAAAAAGCATCAAACACTGGAAGGACTAACTAAAAGCATTTATGAATTTTCACCTACAGGAACAGGAAGGTAACAGGATGAAGAAACACTTTTGGAAGACACATTTCACCATGGTGTTTAAGCACTAGACACATTTTTAAATGCTTTATTTATAAAATAAAATTGCATTAAAATTTAAAGGCCGTTCCTCAAAATTAAAAACAGAAGCCAATGCTACTAATT